GCTGACATCAGTTAGAGAACCACTGGAAAACCTGGGAGTACTGGACAGCTGTTTCATCCTAGTCTGAGACTCTTCAGCAGTGCGCATCCACAGCCACGACTCGAACCCATGGCCTTCTGGTTACAAAGCGAGCTCGTAGACCATTGGGCCACTGGGACCGGATCCAATGTTCAGCCAGTGCATGAATTCTAACTTCTGCCAATTAACGACATAGCGCGACCATTTCGCAATGTCTTCTTCGATGAGTTACTGCCTCATCTTCAACCTGCTGTACCCTACTAGTCACAGCAAGTTTTCGTTCGAAGGACGAACACTATTTTGAAAGGCACTGAGTAATCAGCTTTCTCAACTACCTTCCAGGAAAGCGAAATTCTGCACTTTTACTCAGCTGTAAAAATATTTAGAACACTAATGTGTGCACCTGGATTACCATATGTTTAGATTTTATAATGTTTGCCTTCTACTAGTTAGATTTCAATAATTCTTATCTTTGAAAACTGTAGAAATACCGTTTGTTGAATAAATGAAGGCGGATACTTCAATAAAATATTTACCTTTAGAAATTCAACACAATCGGGATTTACTGTCCCATTTCACCGATTAAAACGTCTAGTACCACTACCACATCATCTCAGAGTACCGTCCATTGAGTCATTTCTAGTTTATCTTGTGTACATGTAACATTTTCATTGGTAGAAACAGTGTTCTGACTGTTGTATAATCTGAGCTAAACAAAATAAATATCCACTTCATATGATTCGAGGTTATGTGCTTTCATTCACAGAGTCATCGTGTGATATAGTCATCTGACGGGAAACTTCTCTGTCAATATTTCAAGTAAATCTGAATTCGGCGAATTCACTTCTGAATTAGGCTGTAGGCTTATATTCCTGTGCACAGTGAAATTGAATGCTGTTAGTTTTATAGTTCGACATTTGTACAATTTAAGTTTAAAATTAGTAATATTTGCTTTTGTGCTGAGTTTCAACGTGATCATATTATACTCAGACTAATTGATTACCACATTCTCATCTGAAATTTTATTATAGCAGAAAACTGTCATCCTCCTTCCAAATGTCATTAAATAAATTTGTAATTAATCAGTCATTTTCAGTCACACTAAAGAAAGAATGCCATATTTATGCCGAATATATATATATATATATATCGGCACCTTAGTTTCAAGAAAGTGTCTGCTACGGGTCATTGCCAAAAATTCAAGTAATAAATATAGCTGAAATGGTCATTTCCCAATTTCAAGTAACATGCACGAAAAAAGCACCCCTCTTCCTAAATTGTTTAGAATACACTAACACGACAACAGAATGTCCAACCAGAAAAGTAAAACACTTGCATTCTACGTCTACGGGTGAACTGAACAGTCAGCATCTGTCATTCCCCTTCAGAATTGTAAATACCTGATTTCTTATCACTTATTCATGAATCACGTGTTTAGTGTGTCATTAACTGGAGAAGAAATTAGGCTGTGCAAGTTGAAATCAGAGTTACATATATGAAGCAAATTTATCCATGAATTTAATTTCTGAGTTAAGGACGTTAATCTCTTTTCTTTCAAATTCAACCATCAATAAACGAAAGCTATTTTCAGTGTAATTTATTTCTAAGTAAACTTTTTCAAATCATACTACTTTCCATGCTTTGTTGTTGGTTTTGGTGCTTTTTTTCTGGGTAAGTGAAAAGTGAAACTTTCATTTGTGTTGCTAGAGATGTTTTTTTTAAATTTTTTATTCCTTTACGTTCTTAGTGGAACATAAGGCTTCAGGATAGAGGCTTGAAGTGGCGGTAGCAGTGGTGTTTATTTTTACGGGATAGGGTCGCTAGCCTTATGCTGAACCTCCCCTCTTTACCAGTCTTATTACTGGTTTAGGGAGGTTTAGGAGCGCGTCGGCAGGGGATCGAAACCCAGACCACATGCGTGGTCGGCGGACGTTCTACCACTGTGCCAGTGACGCACAGAGAGAATGAACTGAATTTTTCTACATGGATATTATCTTTCACCAACTGACCACAGATTTGACAGTAAATCCATCACTATGAGTAATATCAACATTCAGTGGTAAACTGATTGGAAGCTGATGGCTTTTTTCGTTTCGTATTTTCGCTATACAGTTTAACAGTTCTTTTATGTTATCAAACAGCATCAATATTTTCATTTGATTTTACTGTGAAAATTTGAAGTTCTTGTTAGAATGAAGAAATATTTGTTATTTTTGTGGTGTATGCGATAAGGTTAGCCTTAAGCTCTCTCAGAATTGTCTGTTGTGTAAGACTGTTTAGTAGAAAATGGGATATTGAGAAGCTAGGGGAATGATGTTGATAGAATGCGAAATAATCAACGTAAAATATTGTTTCGAGACGAGTCTGTATCAACAGTTTTAGAGTAGACATTACCGTCATTAATGCTTGCTTAGGGGGTTGAATCAACACGCCTAAAACTATTTTCTCAGGCGCTATCTTATGTTATGAAAACACATCAAACACTGAGTGTACCTCATCACTGTTTTTGAATTGTCACTATAATTGTCCTTTTTTTTATTCCTTCACGTTCCCAGTGGAATATAGGGCTTCAAGCTAGAGGCTTGAAGATTCTGTAGCAGTGTTTATTTTTACAGGATGGGGTTACTAGCCTCATGCCCAACCTTTCCTCTTCACCAGCTTTTAGTTCTGGCTTAGCGAGGTAAAGGAGTGTGTCGGCCGGGGATCGAACCCCGGACTATGTGCATGGTCGGCGAGCGTCCTAATCGCTATGCCACCGACGCACACTTTCGTCCTATTTGGGACTCATCATCTGCATGTACCTGCATTCCTCAGTGAGTGATGATGTTCCCACCGAGGCTCGAACCCAGTGCCGAAGCGTTATCCACTAGACCACTTGGGCCACATAATTGTGCTGCTCCAGATTTTTTAGCAGTTTTCATAAAAACATATTTCAATTATGTTTAGCCTTAAGCAACATTACTGCTAATGGGTTCTTAGTTTCCATCTAAATCAGTGTTTGAAATAACTAAGTAGATCAAAGCTGAAATTTGTATTAGCTTAACACTGAAATCAGGACACGGTAGACCAATTATTTAGTAGCATCGAAAAATGAAAGTTGCTTTAGAAAACATTATATTTGTGTTGTGATTCAAGGGTGTTTAATAATGCTTGAAAACACGGAGAGTATTCTTCCTCAGCTCTCCCAAAAGCTAAATGGCATTTCTCCTAATTATTAGTGTGCTTAAAATACAACCACGATTAGCCTGCACAATCCGAAGCACCAGCACCCAGGTCATTTAGTTATAGCACTAAATGCAAAAGGTTTAGTCATCGAAATTTATTAGAAATTCAGACTGCCACTAAATAAAATGAATTTGTACATGTTAAACCAGATACTCTGGACATCAGGAATTACTGAGGCAATTCGAATAGTATGGCCTGAATAATATTCGAAAGGAGACTATTTCATTGGTAAGCACGGACATTTTTAATGCAAGTCCCGAAGTTTCACTACATTTTTACAACACATAACTTGACGTTTACATTCCGCTTACTTCGATATTATTATTTTATCAATCTCTTTATATCACCACTGGCTTACTCTCGTTTTTTTAGGTAATCCTTGTCACGATTGCGTGACAACTGCTACTCACGTCTGAATTCACCTTTAAATCCCAGAATGTTCTGCCATATAAGAATGTCTCTGTTTTGATCATAACCTTATTATTCTAACTTTCTGTAGAATTCAGACATTGTGTACTTTTTCTGCATTTTTTCTCACTCTTATAATATGAACTGGCTAATCATTTAAAGTATGTCAAAATTATGTCATAGTACTCAACCTTACTATAATGCTGAATTAAATCTCACTGATTCTGAAATAATTCTAACATTTTATAGTGAGTAAATTCCAAATCTGTTCTGAAATGGTTTCTTTAATTGCACAGACTAGAACTCAGTGCTGGTTTTCAGCATGAGTGGCATTCACTCAGCACCCTGTTCTTTTTCTAGGCATTTTCAGGGGTAGATCACAACCTACTGAGTTTGCTTATCAGAATTGTTCCAGCCCTCACAGGACATATTAAGCACTGCATAGCATTATTTCAGGACGAAAGGAGTTAATTCGGCACATAATAGCACTAAAGGCATTATTTCAGTCACGAAAAGCATTTCCAACAGCCATCTGCAGACTTTTATCAACAGCTTTCCACTTCGCTGGCTCCATGGTGAAGACCAAATAGCAGGACAGAAAGAATTATTAACAAGAAACTCTGGCTGAGAATAAACCAACCAAGAGGCGATCGCTCAACAAATATGTAGGAGAAAATGGAGATGGATCGGGCACACATTGCGAAGGCCGTCGAATGACATCGCGTGCAATGCAGGCCATCGCTCGAGTGGAATCCTACTGGGAAGCGACGAGTAGGTCGTCCTAGGGTAACATTGGGGAGGTCGTGTAAGTAAAAGATGAGAGAGTTTGGGCAATTGTGGACCCAGATGAAGAGGATAGCAGAAAATAGAAGAAAGTAGAGAAGTGTTGTTGAAGCCTTATGTTCCACTCGAAACTCAAGGGAACAATAATAATAATAGTTCGGAAGATGAGATAGAGTTGAGAATGAACCTTGTTTATCCTTTGCTTAACCATCTTGGATGGTGTTTGGAAAGTCGACGATGAACACGCTTAATTGTATGCTCTATGTTACTGGCTCTGGAGGAGTGGTCAAATTGATAGATCCACATAGAAGAGGTAAAAAGTTTACTTTACTGTAAACATCCACTTTTTATTCCTTCACATATTGCTTTGAGAATATTCAAAGGTATATTTTACCAGTTATAATCTGACATACAAGAAACAATATGTTTATTGCCTTACAGTTATTTACGTATATTTTTTTCACTGCTATTTAAACCAAGTGAATATTTTATCCTAATCTCCCAGCCGTTAACAGTGATCACAAATAAAATAACGAACAGAATATACATACACGTCTTGTAAGTATGTTTATTTCAGGTACGCCAATATACAAAAAAAGCCGTCATATTTACAAAAGTTACAACATATTATCATTAATAATTAGAAAAGTCGAATATATTAAATATGACAGGCATAAGTTAGTTCTTATTGAAGTCAGAAAATCGAATGTGAAGGATTATGTACATAGAATATTAAACCTTAAATCAGGAGTAGAAATTCTCACAACTTGTTACCTATTTAATTAAGTGGAAATGAAAACTTAGTCCAGTAAACATGATCCTGAAAATATGCATTTTTTCTTTGTTCATGATGAAATAGAAAAGAATAACAAAAGGAACCAAAGTAACGACTTTTAAACAGGAGGCGAATTCACAAAACAGAAAGTAACAAAGCACGTCTAAACAATATTTATATATATGCATCTTCGTGGATCTTTAATACTATTTCATTGGTTCATAAGTTGTTTGTTTTCCACGGCGAATGATTAGATATGTCACGAATACAAAAATACATGTGGCAAGCAATGTAGTGCATACAACCAATAGAACTTTATACTGCCATGGTCTGCTACCTGGACAGTCTACGGCTGTAAAGGAAAAACAAAAATGATGACCTTAGTGAATGAAGAATACACGTTCATTTAAGAAGCGCTTTAGTCAAGAAATGATGTACGACCAATAAGTACAGAGCTGTATACACACTATATTGTTTGTATCCGTGATTAAAATATTAAACAATCAACAAAGTCAACTAAAATATATATATATACATATATATATATATATATATATATATATATACAACCATTATATATAGCCACTGCTATTTTACTACATGGCATCCTCCTCGACCCTCTACACGAATATATGACATTCACCAGCTACCGGTGGTATGGGTACATACAGTCTAGTCTTCATGAACATGCTGAATTCTAAAGTATAAAGCCCATCGCTTAACTGAATACTAAGGGCCATTTACTGGTTTACTATTCGGTCAAATGATCTTCTAAGATGAAGAAAACGAGGTCATACTCATCAAGTGCCTGTTGACCATTTTAATTTTATAGCTGATTGATATATACACAAATATTTTACATACTCACCATGGCTTTCGAATTCTGCTCTATTGTAAAGTTTGAACGCTTCCATACTTGAATTATTAAAATAAATATCAATTTTCACATCTTGTCCATCGTTCCCTGATAATTCCTTATGTATTTCATCGTCACATGTGAAATACGCACCAACGGGGACACTGAACATAGATGTATCTGTGGCAGCTTCATTTTCGGTAGCTGAAAAAAATAATCAGTATTTACATTTGCGAAGATAAATAAAGGCTATGTAAGATAATGTTGTTGAAACCGAATTTTGAAAGATACAAAGTAAACTCAATGACTGCTGTTTTCTAAATTAAAATAAATTTTCAATAAGAGAACTAAATATACTTTTTTAAGCTAAAAACTACAAAATCAGATAAATATATAATACCTGTGCATTGTGTTCAAAGTGTTTCTGTAGTAAATTTCTAGTGCTAGGCTAAAAGGAAAAGTGTATGAACGGAGCTGAAAACTAAGATCACTAGTTCACATTTCTCTTATGCTTCAAAACACAGTCTTCTTGAATAGACTAATTCACATGCCGTTTCAACCTAGATATTTACCAGACTTCATTCACAGTCGACCGAAAATAGCCATCGATAGTAGAAAATTTTACTTATTTGAAAGATTTATAATCTTATAAAATAATGGCCGTTCTTAATACAATAACTGCTGAATCCTCTAGATGAAAGCAAATCAGTATAAAGTAAGAGGCTTATCAATTGCACCTCGATTAGTTTTACAAATGTAAACTGTTGGGACATATTTAGTGCAAACTGATTTTAAATCATACAACTGAACAGCTGGTTAGTCTAGAATCCATACTTTAAAAGTGATGAGGTCAGTAAATACTCTGAAGGGAACAGAATAGTTAATTCAAATAAATAATATCACAAAAACAAAATACTTGGTGGATGAAACAATAATTACCTGAATTATTGAGGGCATATATAAGCTTCACTGACTCTAAAGTATACCTTTCTTCGTCTTTGGCAAAATGAAATATAAGACTCCAGTTGGTTTTGCCATTAGTTGGTGTCCATTGAAGCGACACGAATTGGAATTTATCTTCACAAGAGGAATTTAGAAAGATCAAATCTTCTGGTACAGCATTAACGGATGTGCTCTCGTTTATATTGTTTTTCTTAATGAAATGAAATGAAAATATGAAATCAGGTGGAATCCAATATCAATTTGCATCGATTTTATTCAGTAGGCTATATCTATTAGGATATTTATAGTCTTCCTAAAAAGGCGATCACCTGAATTCTCGGTCATCTTATACTTGTTGAACCACTACCTATAACAATGATAAAATCTCTGCCACAACCAAAATAAAAACAGTGTAGGATTGTGCTTCAATGAAAAAGAACCGAAAAAAATTGAACAGACTCAACTAAGTAGTTAGTCATCAGAGTATACGTTTACCATAATATGAAGCATAAATATTGTTTTAAGCGGAACATTAACATAACTTAGTAGTACCATTTTGGATACAGGAAAAGATAATTTTTTAGATGATTTATGTCTGGTTGTGTAAAATTATCAACCGATTTAACTCAAAGCATTGAACTGAATTATCAGCGAAGAAGATTGTGCAAATGTGTATGAGTTCACGTTGCCACACTTAGAAAAAGCATACATAATAGTAGGGAAAGAAACTGTGGTGAAGCAGAATAATGAAGACCTAATGAATCTAGAAAACCACATAGAATGAATACAACTGTACAATAGGCTCTGCCACCAGCAACCTCAAGTCGTTAATTTCTAGTGTCCCAAAGACCCCAGCGAAGCAATCTACAGCTTACATGATTAAACTAACAGGGAAAAATTCATAGGCTGGCATCGTGTTTTTGGTATTACCAACCGCAACTCCTTTCTAAGCTAATTATATATCAAATAGTATTTCTTTTCCAGCATAATGGCCGGTAAGCAGAAACGATGGAAGGATGACACCTATTAGCTTAGCATAATGTCTTAGTCTAACATCATATAAACAAATATTAGTGCGGATCAAGTCGAGTTCCGACTGCAGCACTTATTTCGACACCGACACCAGATTCTCTGGTTAGGATTGTGTAACATGCCTTAACAACCTCAAGTGATACAGCATCACAGCCATATTGACTGACTTTTTAGCATGCGTGTCCGCTTTAAGTTTGTCGTGTTAGTTGGTGCAGTATGGTCATTAATAATACAGTTAGTCAGAGATCTTTTCACATCTTCGACTAACATAAAGGACAAAGAAAATCGTCAAACAGCACACATGTCCATTAATATATGTGTAAAACTTGGGCACTGTGGTAGTAAGTAATTCCATATTAGTTTGTTTATTAGATATATTACGCAGTGAAACAGTATTATTTACTGGGTGACGTTTCGAACAAAATTTATTGTTCATAATGATATCAAGTGTGTCCTTTGATGTCCTTTGATGAATAGACGGCTATCACACATCAAGGGCGGAGATGATATCATTTAGCAAAAGCCAGGAGATCCTGTGGTTTCTTTATTGGGATTTCGTCAGCAACCAGTCCATTTGTGGGGTGCGTTAGTAACAAGAATTTGTGAGTAGTATGTTGGTGATCTCTTCTTCAAGAATCTTAAAAAAGTGGAGCGATTGGTTTAAGTTACAAAGAAGGGAAATGAGGATCATTGTGAAAAAAAATATAAAACACGAGATGAGGAAAAAAGAATCACACGTCAAGCAATAGGGCTGATGCAACTTCCCAAATAAATGGAATGGTCACCTCATTTTACATCCTAACTTTAAACTAGCAACCAGTAAGGACCAATCCTGCAGCATCATCTTATATTTGATAGGGGAACATCACGTGACAAATATTATAATTTCTACACAAGGTGTTCGGAAAACAGCATTTTCATCTAGAAGTAATTTATCAGCTGCATAATCTACATCAGGGAAACTGATGCTTGATAACAAGTCAGTCAGTCAGATGTCAAAGTTACCTAGGGTGATACCATCGTTACATCTATAATAAAACTAAATAAAAATGGAGAAAATGAGCAACCCTGATAAATAAAACTAGTTACCATTACTTTAGATAACAACTCTCTGTGTGTTCTTACTTGGTTTCATTAGTTCGAGTAGGTTGCCTTAACTGATATGATGTATTTCTTCACTACCATACAGCCATTGATCCTCACGCAATTCTCGGCCACCAGAGTCAAATCCTTTTTTCATGTCAAGTGTTGGACTCCGGGAATTATGCCTGTGTTCCAAGACATGTCGGAGATATGATCAATAAAGACCTCCTTTTTTCTTGTGTTTTTCCGAGCTTCAACCGGACAATGGAACCTAAAATCTCGGGTATGCCATCAATGAGGCCAATTTTCTCCGATTGTCACAAGAAGAACTTTCACTTCTTATAAACTTGGATGGTGAACGGTCTACGCTACTACGATCACCTTAACTCGTATTTCCGTAAACTAACTGGCCCCTTACTTAAACTGGTCATTAATTCAGCATCATCTTTTAATGGCAGTGCATCCATATCATCAAGTCCTATTTCTTCGCCTAGTTTTAGATTAAAGGTAGCTTTTAAAGCTTCAGCTACATTTAGAGGATCAATGTCTATATTCCATTCAGGTAGGGGTTGAATTGTGGTCAGCTACAGTATAGCTGCAAGCTAGTTGAATTACTCTTCGTGATACCCCCTCCAAATTTCCACACCTTCCCAAGTGTAATTTCCCTTACCACTGGTTCTCATAACACACTTTTTAATGAGCTTAAATGCTTGGCGAAAGGACTTAGAATAAGTCATCCATACATAGTCGAATCAGTGGCTATTCAGGATCTGAAACTGGCCCTTCACGTTCAAAAGCACCACATACGTTCACTCGCGTACGATGAACAGAGTAACGTTCTTACTATAGTTTTGCCTCATTTTGGTGTGTAAGTTTACTATAATTACTATTTATAGTCACCCCATTATTATTTCTTACCAACATTGCATTTTTATAGATTTTATGCGAATACTTTACCGTCTTTCCACTAGTTTTTGTTCACTTTATGCAGTTATACTGATCAGTCATTTCTTCAAACTTATTACGTTATCTCAACGTCTGCCCCCTTTTTCTAATCGCCAATCCTTTAGATTACACTTCGCATTATTTGGTACATTTTCTAGAACAAATTTGCCAGTATCTAGTTGATCTTATGAATTCTTTGTTAAATATAAATACGATTGTACAGTTTTGTACAATTGTCGAAAAGAAAATTTTCTTCGCTGTTAGTGCTTTTTTATCATGCAATGTCAGTACCTTTCCCATCTCGTTGTAGTTGTGAAGAATTTTAGTCGACTTACATTCAAGTAGCTTTTTCTCCTTGCTATGTCCGGTGCACACAGATATCAGTCTCTAAACACTATTACTCTTCTTACAGTACACCACCCGTGATTTACATTTTACGTCATTCGATGGTGCTGATGAAGGTGTTGAAGTTTGTAGATCAATTTATCCAACCTTGTGGGGAAACTAGCAGTTGGAGTGTAAACATTCACTTGTCATCAGACATGACATTCTAATTACCACACAACAGAACGTCGAATAAAAAGGTGTTTAAAAAATGAAACTTTAGTCCACTAGCCGTACAAAGAGGCCACCCATTTAATTCCTGCAAGTCAAAGCTTAAAAAGAAGTAAACCAAATAAATAGTTATGAAGGTCTCATAAATTTTCCTTTTTGAGGTTTAACACTTTAGCAGCCTTTCAATATAAGAGGTTAGTAATTGCTCAGTAAAATTGTATTTTCTAATCCAATTAACAGCAATCATTTTGCCTCCTTCAGCTTGACTGGAGTGATGTTTATGATGAGCTGAAACCATGTTTAGAATCTAGTCAAATGCTCCATAGGGAGTGGCATTTCTGTTTGTACTAACACCGTAGGTAACTGGTAGCAAAGTGATCCGTCCACACTCGATTGGCGCATATAGGACGCCAGGTAGCTCAGTGATGATGGCCCTGAAGAATTTCGCTGCTGGCTAAAAATAGGTTGACATCTGTGCAAAGCTCCAGAATACAGTCCCTGTGATCATTTAGCCCAAAATAACCACTTAAACAACCTTCCTCTGAGCACAGACACTCGATATGTACGTTTGATTTCTCAACTAGTTCTGTGATGTTTTTCTGGGTGCATTTGGTTGAGAGTCACTCATTTGTTGGCAGAAATCTAATCCATTGGTGTGCATGTAAAAATAAAAAAAATACAGTACCTCTTACTGTAGCATTATTTCTTATTCTGACAACATATAAACAACTGTCAATGAAGTTTAAGTCGACTTTTGGCTGCAGCACTTATTTCGACACCTATACCAGATTTTCTGGACACCTATAACACGCAGTTTCTAGGTAAGCGCATAAGAAGTGCTTTCTGAGCCGACAGAGGGAGAAAGCATTCATAATCTCCTCTGTAAAATTATATACTGGTCTCCAAGATTTAGCATACAACAATAATGAGGCAAGTTCAGAGATCTGGCCAAACTTCATTGTTGTTTGACTTGCATCAACGTGAGAACCCTAAGAGATGGCAGCTTGAACGCGACGTATGTCAAAAAAGCTGTGGTAAGTAACTAATTAGATATCAGCTTTCTAGAAGAAATAGCGCGCAGCTGATGAATTTAGAGTGCTCCTGAAGTGAAGGAAATAACTCCCCTTTGGTATTCATGTTTAAATATAATAAACTGGAGTTCATTTGGTTGGTAATAACCCAGTGTCTGACAAGTAATAATGCAAATCAAGTAAGCTAGGACTAATTGAAAGCGCAGTAATGCGAGGGCCCGATATCTAATACTTGCAGACAATATTTCAGAGCCCTTGAAAAGAACTGGAAGATTGAATTGTTAGTCGACAGACCTTATGAACATAGAATTTATATAAAGCAATAAACATTGAAAACCATAAAACAAAAGGTCAAAAAGTACTGTAAGACAAATGAGGACTGACTGATTGACTGGTGTCAAGATAAAACTCTGCACAGAAGTGCAGTAGTTTCAGTTGCCACACTCCATGAAGCACACAAAGGAAGACGAATGAGCGAGAGTTTTGGAAGATCAATAGTGAGCAGGAATGTGGGGGAGGGGGAAGAATAGTAACTTAAATAAACAATAGGGTTTTTGTATATGGCAGGTCACGGAGAGTGAATGCAACTACGCCACTGAGGATTTTAAGCCGCATTACCAATTGTCGCCAGCCATTGATTCTTAGCATCTCGAAGACCCCAACCAGGCTATCTTCATCTCCCTACAAGATTCAAACTGTTAAAAATATAATTGGATGATGCCATATTTTCTTTCCACCAACACTGACTTTTTTAACCTAATCCTATGTCAGCTAACATTTCCCGTTGAGGAAGTTGCTGGCTAATCACGCGTTACACACGTCCTAGCCACTTCAAAACCTTATCGACTGATTTTCTCTCCTTGCCTCAGAATAGATGCCTAACCTCAATATTACTCACCCTATTATACCACCTACCATGGGAGACAGAACGCAGACACCTATGAACAAAGACAGCTAGCCTTCTCAAGCCCCTCACTTTTAGTGACCATGTCTCACACCTGTAAAGAAGGACGGAGCGAACTGCTAAGCAGTACACATGTTCTTTGACTGATAGTCAGATATCACATCAAGGCATAGATGACGCAGGTTAGCAAACGCCACACGAGTCTTTTGTATCTATGCTGAGACTTTGTCACAGAGAGACTTGTGTACCTTCATGTATACTGAAATGATTAATGACTCACACCAGTCCTACGGGACTATCTCTGATTCCCAGATGTTACCTAATACTTTAGTGCAGACAACAATATGTCACCACCTCCCTTGAACTCCTCTGGAGTAATTTCATAAACTCCTGCTGCTTTCTCTCGCTTCATATCAGAGGCAGCCTTTATGACCTCATTTGCAGATGAAGGACCAATGTCTAAATCCCATTCAGGTAAGTATTGGGTGCTGGACAAGTTAAGCGTGGCTGTAGGCCAGTTAAATTGCTCTTCAAGATGTTCCTTCCAACGTTCCAGTTGTCTGTCCTGACAGTTAATTAGGGCACCACTTTTCTCGAAGATTGTCTGACCTATCATTTACCTTTCGCCAATTGTTCGCCTGATAAAAGTAAACAGTTGTCTGATGGCACCTACCGCCGATACCTTTTCCATCTCTTAGGAAAAATAGAGCAATGCAACAATGAAGCTGGACAGAGAAATGATATTATAAATTAATTTCATTGGGTCGGCAGAGATCAATCATTGAAACTTGTTCTTCCAATCAACATAAGACACTTGCACTAAGAATGATCTCACACCAATCATAAACATATATAATCCTATTAGTGATAACCAGGGAGAACTAGAACTGCATAAAATTTAAAAAATCAAGTGAGCATTCCAAGGTGATCATGACAGATACATTTTTCTGGAAACGTCATTCAGTTTATTCTACAAAATTACCTTATTATAAAAACAAACTTATTTAAGATGGAATTATAATTTGCCATAATGTTCAAATTCTACTCTTGCATTACCACAAGGATGAAAAAGCGCTTGAGTCACATGTAGCCTTATTAGTAGATGAAAGAGGGTCAAAACAGTCGATCAGAACAATTCACTCGAGCTTAACTTATGTGATTTTTCGAACACATAAGAATATACAGAAGGTATCAAGCAATTAACACCATTACACTTCTTTTTTCGGTACTTAGATGGGCCAGAAAAACAATTAATGAGGAATAACAACAGTGACCAAGAATAGTTTCAGCACAGGTGTAACCAAGTTTATATGACAAAATTAGTCGCCATACCACTGTAAAATCTTATCACAGTTCTTACAAAGTAAATATCAAAATGAGAGTACAAATGTGTGAAAATTTACAAATATGAGTATCAATGACAACATGACAGGATTACCAAAGAAAGGTGCAATACAACAAATTTTATCACCAACTGCAGCAGTACACAAAATGAAGCTACTAATTTTATGAAGCATTTGGAATTTATAATCCTTAGGATCTTTGAGTGGTTCTTTAGACAATGTAAAGTTTTCGGTAGTCACCTTATAGTGAATTTCTTACCAAGTAATCATTAACCTATCCCTGAATGAAGTCCCAGTAAGATTTCATACACTTGGTTCCCTTGAGAAGTTTCAATAAAGAAAGAAAGACCATATTTGCAGTATTAAATGATATCATTCTTTCACGCAGGTTCTCGTCAGCTGAAAACCAAGGGAGTGAAATTAACATACTTGAATGTCTAAATACCAGTAAAGAAAACATAATAAAATCAACGCATCCGAAATATAAGCTTTGTTGCCATCAATTATATGTTTGCAGATGCAGATGATGAGAGCCTATTAAAAAAAGTGGTATTTTATACTGCACATCTGGTTTTTCTCCAGTAAGGTGTTATACTGAAGTGTTCTTCTTGCAGGCCTTTTAAAGAACCATGATAATTTAAAAATTGCATTTCATACCACTTATACAAACAAATGATGAACTGACAGAATTGCCAAACCGCCGGAAAGTGGAGATCAACTAGAGCAAAAATGTAATAGTGCACCATGGTCAATAAAACTACGAAAGTTTAGCGAATACATGAGGGTATTCTTAAGGACAATATTACAATATAAGACAGCTTCCGTGAAATCACCTCAGATACTATAATAAATAAATACTATATAATACTCATAAATGAATACCTTTAGGCAAAAGGAACATAATGTACGGCATTATAACATTGGATTCTGCTCCTGTGAATTTTTTATTTCTCTTGAATACCCACTAATTAAACGAAAGCAATACCACGCTATGGAGAATACATAATTTCTTTCGTGACACTGATAACTGCTAGAAATAATCACTTTATATCTTGATAAAAACACTCACTATATGCACTAAGCGGACAAAACAGCCCAGCTAGCATTATCTTCGGGTCCATCACAGACATTTCGAGGCAAAACCTTCGAGAGCATTTCAGAAAGTGAGACAGTTGTCTGCAGTATGCCCCAAAGTGTCTGCAGTGAGCCCGAATTCTGACCTAAAGTGTCTGCAATGCACCCAAAGTTAATGCTAACTTGCAACTGCTGAATGTTGGATTCGTTTCAAAGTCACGAATGCCCCCACTATCACTTCCTGTATTGAAATCACTGGCTACACTCAAATGTTAGATATAACTCTCCGACTTTTTGTATTTTTTTATACATAGTTAGCATTTACAAACAAAACAAACTCACCTCGTCTTGTAAATTAACTGTAATTTGCGAACGTATAGCAATGCAATCAGTTAGAATAGTACCAGGTGGTCGAGTCCAGTCAATAAGTACTCCCTGTGTGAGGTTTGGCGCTGGTGTTGTTCTTATTACAAGGAGTGGCTCGCCAGTTTGTCCCAAGAATGGATCATTTTGGAACAACAACGCTAAACGAACAGTGTCATTACAAGTTTTACTCACTGTTTAAAAGCGAAAATAAAAAAGATAAAAAACCTGGCCACGCCATATGATGCTCTTATGGGAAATTCACTTATACTTCAAAAATGAAATGTTGTTCTAAGAAATCGAAATCAAGTTCAGCCAATATACCTCATTTATAAGTGTTTATTTTATGGTGAACATTATACAGCAGTAAACATACGCTTGGATAACTTTTCATCATCCTCAAGTTGTGTTCAAAAACGTGAACCTAGATACAGCCTTGAATTACTGGTACATAAAAAGTAAATTCATCTAAGGTCATTCCTTCATTAATGATTATGGAGATAAGCCAGACGGAAAGATACTGATGATACTGATGAATTTTCCGAACAAGATACATATGCATAAATAACAAAAATGTTGATTTGTGCTTGTTAATTCTCACAAAATTATGGGTAACTGGATTTCATTTCATTGCGATTAATATTCAGATTTAGATTCGGATTTATTGTTTGAGGATAGAAGGCTTGGAGCCTATGTTAATCCTTTTCTAGTAAATTTCTGTGGTTGTCCAAACCCTTCTTGAACGAATCAACTGAGGTTGCAGACACCACTTCTTCTGAGAGTCGGTTCCAAGAGTTTATGACTCGGTGTGAGGACCAGTACTCAACAGCAATATAATTTCTTCTTGGCTTTTGAACTCTCCTGCTATGTCCTCTAAGGTGTTCCGACCTGGTGGGAAGGAAAAGAGAGAATAGGTCAGGTCCGTAGTCATTATTTAAAATTTTAAACATTGTGATTAAATCTCCTCTCTGCCTACGGTATGACAAGGAGAAGAGATTTAAACTGTCTATTCTTTCCTCGTATGATAAATTAGTCATTCCGAGAACCATACGTGTTGCCTTCCTTTGAACCCTTTCTAGAATGTGTGAGTCCCCTTTTAGACAAGGGCTGGCGGCCTGGATGCAGTTTTCCAGTCTTGACCTCACCAGAGATGTATATAAGGAGGTGAACATATCTCTGGTGATTCTAGTGAAGGCTCTACGAATTGCCCATAATGACCTGAAACTACGTGCAGCCACCGCGCGACAGTGTGCTGTAGTTTTCAAGTCGTGGCTAACTATGACACCTAAGTCCAAGTGAGTCTGAACTGATGGAAGTGTAATTCCCTCTAGTTCATAAGAGCTCGTGCTTGCTTGTCCAATGCGCATGGTTGCACATTTTGCCACGTTTATCGGGAGCATCCATTCTATGGACCACTCTGACAATTTGTTGAGGTCCTCTTGCAACGTGGACGTGTCACTGTTGCCCTTCAGCTCTCTCCAAATTTTTAAGTCATCTGCGTATAGGACCATAGGGGAGTCGGTGAGCAGAGATAACTCATTGATATACAAAATAAATAGGAGAGGTCCAAGTACCGTGCCTTGTGGCACTCCGCTGCGTACTGCTGTCCAAGAGGAGAGTTTCGAGTTGATCCTAACCCTCTGCCTCCTATCTATGAGGAATTCCCTGAGCCAGTTTAGTAAGCTGCCTTTGATACCAAGACTTTCCAACTTCATGAGTAGTCTTTTGTGAGGTACTTTATCAAAGGCTTTGCTGAAGTCTATGAAGACGACGTCAACGGGTCTTCTGTTGTCCCTGGATTTGACCCAGCTTTCTCTTGCAGTGAGAAGATTTGACAGGCATGAGAGGTTCCTTCGGAAGCCATGCTGTGCTCTTGATAATAAGCTTCTATTTTCTAGATATGCCATTATGCTTTTCTTGATGATTCTTTCCAGTGTCTTAATTAAAGTGCTGGTGAGACTGATAGGCCTGTAATTTGAAGGGCTTTGTCTTGATCCTCCTTTGTGGATGGGGGTTACTATGGCGTCTTTCCAGTCACGCGGTAACACTCCATTTTGGAGAGAAAGCTTGAAGATCGTAGTCAAAGGGCCGGCTATGTGGGCTGATAACTCCTTGAGAAGCCTTGGGTGAAGATTATCAGGACCCATTGATTTCCCTGCATCTAGTTTCCTTAGGCAGTTGAGCACGATGCCTTGGTCGATGTCAACGGAATCTATCCCATGTTCTTCTGATGCAGCCAGAGCTGATCCTATAGGCAGTGACGACTCCTGAGTGAAGACTTGGGAGAAGTAGTTTGCCATTGCTTCTGCTTTTTCTTGATCTTCTTCGATTGTCTCATTGTCAATAGTCAGGTTTGGGACACCATTGGATGTTTTATTCCTGAAGTTCATGTACGAGAAAATTTTCTTAGGTTGTGCCTTTGCATTTTGAGCCAGGTGTGCTTCGAATTTCATCCTTGATTTGTGGATTTCTGCAATAGCTTTATTTCTAGCAGTGTTATTTAATAGCCTGGTCTCAGAAGTCTCAGGTGTAGCAAACAAGTTCCAACATTTGTGCTTACGTCTAAGTAACTTACGAATCTCTCGGTTTATCCAAGGAGGGCAGTGTTTCCGACCCTTTGGGACAGACCAAGGGATGAAAGGTTCAGTTAATTGGGCGTAAAGTTGTTTAAATTGGTTCCATGTGGCTTCTACTTGAGACTCTGGGTTGATGTACCAGTTTACTGAGTTGGCTGCTGAGACGATTGCATTTATATCAGCTTTCCAAACGTTTGGTCGAAATGGGGTTTTGGCCCTTGCTGCCGTTGCTGTGAACTTGAAAGTGAGCACAGCATGGTCACTTCTTCCTAAAGGAGGAAGATGTTGTATGAGATCTACATCCTCACCATGGGAGAACACTAGGTCCAGAGTTGAGGAGGAGTGCTGTGAGTCATAGCGCGTGGGCTTGATGATATGTTGGACTAGAGCTAACGATATACCAGATTCCAGCAGTTTATAATCAAAGGAGTTGACTGAGGATGGAGTTGTTAGGCTCGTCCAGTCAACTGTTGGGGCATTGAAGTCGCCAACTGTGAGACTTCGACATTTCGAGGTCCAGGAGCCTAGCTTCTCTATCAGGAAGTCATCTGCACTGCAGTTAGGACTGCGGTACATAGCAATGAGGTCAATGTCTTGGCCTATGCATTTAAGTCTGCAGCGTAGAAGCTCGCACGACTCACTTTCGTGAGCGAGTGCTTCGATGCTACTCACGGTTAAGCATTTCTTGAGGTAGATGACTACACCACCTTCTTTGCAGTTTAGTCGGTCCACCCTATGCACTTCGAAGTTTGGCAGGTTAACTTCGCTGTCAGTGACATCGGGTGTGAGCCATGTCTCTGTGAAAATAATAACATCCGGGTTTCCGGAGTCTATCATGTTAACCAGCTCAGTCCGTTTATTTAACAGGCTGCAGGCGTTTGTGTAGCAAACTGTTAATTCAGTTTGGTGCTTCCCCGGCCTACCCACAGAGGTTTCGGGATCATTAAACTGCGAACTTGAGCAACCCGAAAACCCTTAATCTTAAGGTTCTTTTCGCCGTTTCGGCGTCGTTCGCTTAATTCTAGGGCCGCGGACTGTCTTTTGACACGGTCTGCCAGGCTTAAGTCGGCACGGACATATATGCCTGATCCTTTAAGTATATGAGAGTTGCTTAGAATAACATCCCTCTCTTCTTTATAGTTTAGTACGACTTTGAGGAGACGTACAGGCTGACTTACTGTAGGGTCAGGCTTTTGGCCTATTCTATATACACTATGTATAGTGATGCCTGATACTGTTTGTGGCAGTAGCTTGTCTAAAAGGGGCTTAACCAAGTTAAGGTCATGCTCAAATCTAGTCTTGGGTTCGGGGGCCAATGACTCTTCCACTTTGTGGAGAATGAGCGACCTGTCAGAGAGATCAGGTTTGCTTGCCGTGGCTTTCTTGCTCTGCGGCGTGAATGTCTTTCTGTCCTTCGTGGGCAGTGTGGCTAATGTATTGTCCTTATCTCGCTTTTTGCGAGAGACTACGTTACGCCATTCATTGGCGTTCTCCTCACTAGTCGTAGCAGGATTTATCTGCCTGCTACTCACCAGTGTGGACGAGGCTTGATCCACTAGTACCTGGGTGAATTAAGTTGCGGGTTTACGACCCCTGGTACGCCTCTTCTTTGTGGCAGTCTTTCCGTTACTGTCACTGGAGGGCTTATCCAGTATCGTGGGGGCAGCCTGGGTGACTGGAATGTGGTGAGTGCTCTTCTGTGCTGAAGCGCACTCAGTCATTGACAAAGACTCATTAGGAACACGTACTGTTCTGTTGATGACGCTAGTCGCATCTTCGGTGTCTGAGAAGTAGTCAGTCTTCTCCTGTGATGGAAGACCCTTGCAGTCCATGAGCTTTAAAGCCCCGCTAAGAGTGGCAATGGCTTCTGTAATATGGAGTTTGGTAGTACTACAACAGTCACTGCACAACCAGTTTGCTAGAGGTTTGCAGCAGCGTTTGTATGCTGCAGGAGTTAGGTTTGTGCACATACTGTGAAACCATCTCTTGCAGTTATCACACTGCATTCCCTCATCCACTGGGAATTGGCACATAACCCTTCCGCAGCGGTTTTTTTTGATGGGCATACTGTCTAGAACAGACTGGCGAAGAAATTTAAATATAATTTAGATGTATATAGACCTTTATAAATCAGCGATAAAAATCAATGAGTGCACAAAAATATATATAACTATTATGTTACAAAACACAATTTCCTATAATTTAAATAGACTCAGATCTGAAAAGTAAACTAACTTTGATCAGAATAAACTGATTTAAAGTTAATGTGTAGACTTTTGGAGCGTATAACACAACAAAAGCCAAAACTAAACAAGAGCGTGTAAAATTCACTCCCTTTTGCAAACACTAAAGATAATTGAAATTACTCGTCAAGTACAATCTTCATCTTCCAGCGTCGAAAAGCACTGGAACAACTTGAAGACAGTATGGAGTCAAACATGCATGGAAGTTCTAGGCAGAAAGAAGAGACAGGATTAACAATGGCTCACTACGGACACTTGGAAACCAATAGAAGAGAGAGGGATGGTGAAACAAAAGATTCTCCAGTGCACCGACGAGCAACAAAAACAGGATTTGAATGCAAGCTACAAGACACTGAACAAAAGAGTAAAGAAGAGTGCCAGAGAAGACAAAAGAAAGTACTGTGAAACCATGGCAAGTGAGGCAGAACAAGCTGCAGGCAAAATAGACCTCGCAACACTCTACCAAACTACTAGGTACCTATCGGGCAAACGTTTGACACAAATCAGGCCGGTGAAGGATGACAACGGAAAGTCACTCACCAAAGAAGTGGAGCAAAGGAAACACTGGGCTGAACACTTCAAAAGACTCCTAAATCGACCACCACCTACAACGCGCCCAGCAATACCAACAACGGAGACAGAGCTACCAGTGAACACCAAC